TGGTGGACAGCCGCGTGGCCCTGCGCATCCACGAGCACGCCGCCATCTACCTGGCCGCCGGCATGGAGAGCCTCTTCCGAGACGTGCACGCCCGGGTCCTGGCCCTGTCCCTGCCCCAGCCGCGGGGCTCGGCGGCCGCGGCCGACAAGGACAAGGAAAGCAGCGGCAGCGGGGAAGCGCCCCGCTTCACCCTGGAGGCGCTGGAGCAGACGGTCAGCAACGACGCGGAGCTCTGGGGCCTCCTGCAGCCCTACCAGCACCTCGTCTGCGGCAAGAACGCCAGCGGTGAGTCCCCCGCCCCCCTCCCTGCGGGCAGCTGGGCGCCACAGCTGGACGACCCGGGCTGCTGTAGCCCTCCCTGGCCTGGCACACTGCGTGGTACAGGGGGCCACAGTCTTGTCCCCCAGCCCTGGCACAGTGGGTGGCACAGGGGGATATAGCCCTATTCCCCCAGTCTTGGCACAGTGAGTGCTATAGGGGGATATAGCCCTATTTCCCCAGCCCCAGGACCGAGTGCTATAGGGGGGTACAGCCCTGTCCCCCAGCCATGCTGCTGGGACAGCACCCTGGGACAGTGGGTGCTGTAGGGGGATATAGCCCTATTCCCCCAGCCTTGGCACAGTGGGTGCTATAGGGGGGCAGCCCTGGCACAGTGGGCATTATAAGGAGGCTGACCTGTCCCCCAGCCCTGGCACAGTGGGTGGTATAGGAGGGCACAGCCTCGTCTCCCAGCCCTGGCAAAGAGAGTGGTATAGGGGGACCACATCTCTAGTTACCCAGCCTTAGCACAGGAGGGTGGTATGGGGAAGGCTGTTGCCTCTGCCTCCTCCTCCGCAGCCCCTGTCATTCCAGGGCTGAGTTGGTAGTGTGCCTGCCCCCACTTACGCCCCACCCTCCCACCAGGGCTGGGTGGGTACAGCTGTTTCCCCCTGTATCCAGCTGCAAGGGCAGGGCTGGGCAGGGAGGGTTGTTCCCCTGTGCCCACTTGTAGGGCTGGGGGGTGGGGACAGGAGAGGCTGTGCCTCCATGCAAGCCCTGAAGTGCCTCCAGGGCTCCGTTGCACCCGCGCATCTTGCACTCCTTCCAGTCGTGCAGGTTTGGTGCAGCTGGGATGCACGGGGAAGCCTTGGGGGCGGGGGGAGCTGAGTACCTGCAGCATCTGGGAGCTAC